AAGTTAAATGTCTTGGATTGATGCAGGACAGAGGCAGGCATGACAGCAGAACTGGAAACATTCCTAAAGACTTTCTAAACTGCTTCAGGAAGTAGATAGTATGATGAGCAAGCATGCTGCAAACAAGAGGGGGAGTGTTTTGAGGAAAGTCAATGAGAACATATCCTGTACTGCAATGAATTTTTAAAAATTTAATTGTTCACTATCTCAATTACAGCTCATATATTATAAAAATCAGGGTCTGACAACTGTTTTTAGAAAGTTCTGGGAAATAAATATATAGGAACTTGGGAAAAATGCTTTGCAAGCCATGTAGTCTCTCTTCTAACTAATTAACTTTGGTTTCTTGGCATGAAACTGTTGCAGTCTACCCTCAAAGAAAGGTCATGGCTATATCCCAATACAATTTCATTTACAAAAGTAGGAGGTAGGTTTAGCCCAAATGTCTTAGTTTTCTGACCCTTGATTTGAAGGATTTATTGTATTTACTCTTTAGGGCTGAAAAGTCACAACCGAAATTTTACTGACCAGCAGTTTGTTTGCTTGCTTGCTTTTTGTTTTAAAACAAACTACCAACTGAAAAACATTGTTTGGTGACCTTTATGGAAGACATGGTGAATGTACAGCAGCACATGCAAAGTGGGGTGTGCGGGTATATGAACATGCCAGTACATGTAGTAAGAATTATAAAGATGATACAATCTCTATTCCTATAAACCTACTATATATAATAGAAAAAGGTCCTTGATCAAGATAAAAATGTCTCAGATGAAATCATTATCCAATATAGGATAATCTTACCCAAAAAAATTACAGCTAGGATAAGGGTAAAATTTTCTGAACCACAGTAATACTGATCCCATGTTATAGAGAGATAAATAATTTTTACTTTATGACTATAGTATTATGCTGAATTATGTATCTATTTGAGAGCTTTTTATTGAAATATCACACTTTCCTGAAATAACATCATCTATTCACACTGTCAAGTACTCAATTTAAAAGGATGACAATAATTACCTGGTTAAGAACATATAATAATATCTCAGTTTATGAAGGTTTCTGTTCATGAACAATTTGGTTCAAAAACAGATGCACTGGGAAAATTTTTGCTTTGTTGGCAAACTCCACATTAGGAGACAAACACAACCACAGCCATCTTCCCCAGAATCAGGGAACAATTAAGTTCATGAACTGAACTACCACCATCCTTCAACTTTTTTTTCTTTTAATGTATTTAGTACAGGGTCTACCAGGTCTACAGGGTCTCACTACGTAGATCAGACTCAGTGATTCTCCTGTTTTCAGCCTCTCAAAGCACTGGAATTACAGGTGCATGCCACCACACCCAGTCTTAATCGCTGTCTCAGCATGCCCAGTGGCAGGGCTGGCACGGCACACTGGGGATCGAACCCCAGTCGCTGTGCTCTGCCTAAGCGGGCACTTTAGTCCAATGAGCCATCAGCAGGCCCTAAAATTTTGAAATTTAAAAAAAAATCTCCATCCAAGTAAAGTGGAGCTCCATACAACTCTCCAGCTCCATCTTTAAAAAATCATTTCCTACTTTAGACTGACCTAAATGCACAGAATAATGCCCTAACACAATTCTTAGAAGACAAAAAGGTAATTAAATCATATTCATCTTTTATTTCATTAATAATGTGCAAATTAATGAGTTGCCTATTTTCATAAAAATTTACTTTCTAATACTTTTATAATTTTCTGGGGACTATTTATAAAAAAACATTTTAATTTACTTACACATTACCCATATTTAAAAGATACAATATCGTTTTTCTACCACCAAATTTATATGTTCTTAGACTGAGTTTACAACTGGCTTTTGTGACACTTGATCTTTTTTTCCTTTTTTTTTCCCCTGTGATCAGCTCAGCCCATGGTGGGGGCGGGGCTGGCATGGAATGTGTTGCCAGGGATGGAACCGTGGTCCCTTGACTTGCCTAAGCTTACCTAAGCAGGAGCTTTAGGCAGCTGAGCTATCTTGCAGGCCCCGACAGTTGATCTTAATAGTAAAAACCTGATTGGTTTAAGAAACAAGGGCCAGTCAAATAGCTCAGCGGATTAAAGTGCCTGATCAGGTAGAGCGCAGCGGCCTGGGTTTTATGCTCTGCCTGCCGTGCCGGCCCCACCCCTGGGGTACGGAAGGAGGTGATTGAGACTGGGTACAGTAGGGCGCGCCTATAATTCCAGCTCTTGGGAGGCTGAAAACAGGAGGATCACTATGAGTCTGATCTGTGCAGTGAGACCCTATAGACTCTGCATGCCTCATACTAAATACATAAATTTAAAAAAAAAGAAACTGCCCAGAGTCTGGTGGAGCATAATTCTGGGAGGGAGTGTTTCTGAATGACTCATAGAGACATGACTTTGGACCCTGACTCCTTCCTCTCTGGCATTCGTCCTTACAGTGCTTCCTGGCTGCCATGAACTATGCATCTTTGCTCCACCATACCCTTCCACCATGATGTTTCAGCTTTTGAGCTACCTATCATGGGACTCAGTCCCCTAAAACCACATGCTAAATTAAATTTCTCCACCTGTAAATTAAAGGTATTTGGTACTGTGTCTACATAACAGGAAAACTGACTATACAGTTAGCATTTTTTTTCTTTTGCATTTTTATTTTTATTCTTATGATGCAGGTTCTAACATGCAGCTCAGACTCATAGTGAGCCTCCTGTCTCAGCCTCCCCAGTTCTGGGATTATAGGTGTGTACCACCAGGCCTGGTTTCAGGGCTGACATGACACGCCCAGAGACCCAGACCCAGCACAGCATGTTGTATCAGGGACACAGCTTGGGATCCTGTACTTGCCAGGCAGGCACTTAGACTGGTTCCCAGCACCCAACATTAAATTTATTAACTTTAGATATGCAATTAAAAAATGAAATTGGTAATTCCTATCTTCATGTTCTTAGTAAATAAGAACCGAAAAAAGCAAACTATAAAAATTACATCACATCTGGATTACAGAACATTCACAAATTACCCCATATTCAAATTTAGGATTTAATACAAAATCCTTCAAGAACATCTCTATGTATCCCAGTGATTTAATGGAATTTTTTAAAGTAATGTTAGGAATCCAAAAACATGGCCTTTTATGATGAAAAAGTAATAAAGACAGCTTTCTATTGTGTTTCATAATCAATAAGTTATTAAAATATTGAATTATAACAATAAAATTGTGGTTATATATATTTGAAAATACTATTTTACTTCCAGACAAACAATATTACAGAAAGTAAACCCATCATTTGTATAAGTAGGAAAGGCAAGCATTTTCACTATAAATAATGTAGACAAAGTAATACTATTAGTAAAATGTCCAATTACAGGAAATTATGTTAATAATTATGTAAAAATATGCAAAAACAATTTATAAAAGTTTTTAACTATTGTATAACTCCAGGATTTTTTTTCTTTTTAAAAATCTTTTGTTTATTTATTTGGTACAGGGTCTTATTATACAGCTTGACTCATAGTGATCCTCCTGCCTCAGCCTCCCCAGCACTGAAATTATTGGCCCACACCACCACTCCGGGTCTCGGTGGCCTGCAAAGCATGTGGTACCAGGGATCAGCCGGGGTGCTTGTACCCATAGGGCAGGAGCTTAGACCACTGAGCTACCTCCCCAGCCCTATTTCTTTTTCCTAACTTTGTGAAAGTCTGTGAAACTGCAGTATTTGGGAAAGATATCACCTAAAATGTCTTCCTAAGTAATATTCTGGCTGTGTGTGAATGCCTCCATGTGCCTCTGCTGCAGGATCCGAGGCACAGATGGAAGTGGTTTCTATCTATCTGTGCAAGCTGTGTCATTTAAAAGTCTTTTTCTAAGCCTTTCAAATTTTAATGAAGTATAATTTACATACAGTAATTTGTACAAGTCTTAAATGTGGAGTTTGTTGGGTTTTTACATATGAATATACGGTATATATTACCAAAATTATCAAGTAGAACATTTTATCAGTCAAAAAGGTGTATATCTTCTGCTCCACGTCATTCAGTACACAACCTCATCAGGGGTTTCCACTGTTCAGCTATGATATAAATTAATTTACCTTCTTTGAGCCACTTGCAATCACAGAACTTGTACTTTCTGTGTTTATGCTTTCTGCTCAGGATATTTATAAGATTCATTAATATTATCAACTTTACCAATAGTTTTCCTCTGTTTATTACTGCTTAATATTGTATGACTAGATCATAAGTTATTGTCTTACATTTTCTTCTAGAATCTTTTGAAATGGATGATTTATATTTAAATTTTTATCCTTGATTTACCTAAAATTAATTTTTACATATGGCATAAAGTTAGGCTTGAAGGTTTGTTTTTCTTATGTATCCCCAATCTCCAGCACCACTGATTATGAAGTATTATGTATGCATCATTAATTGTCTTTCAAATGTTTAAATGTTGCCTGGTTTTCTCTTATATGAGGGGAAGATAAAGTACAAAGAATTAAGATGTGTTATGTACCCATGCCAACTCCTTATGGTAAATGTAATCTTTATGTATAAGAAACATGTACTAATTTTTTCTTAAAAAGTAAAGAATCATTATAACTGTAGAACGGCAACCTAGATAATTCAGGGTGATCTTTCTATCTCAAGAGAAGATCTCACTTAATCACATCTAACAAGGATATTTACACAGATAAAATGGCATGTAAGTAACAGTAGGTTCCAGGGATTAGGACATACACATATTTGGCAGTGAGAGATGGGGCATTATCCAACATACCACACCACTGAAAACTCATGAAAAGATCCCACAAGTGAAGAATCTTAGTTTGTGGATTACAAAAAGATATTTCACTGACCAATTAATATTAGTAAAGCAAATCCAACAGCATATTAATAGGGTCGGACAACACCACTAAAGGGATTATTTTCCCCCAGAATTCAGTCTTCAAGGTAGTTAAAAGTGTGAATACTATTAGTACTGCTAAAGAACATTTATCCATGTAACTGTTTACCATTCAGACTGAAAGCACCCAAACGTCCTGGTCATCCCCATTTTGATCAGGAAATTGCACAGAAAGTCTTCTATTACTTCAGGAGCTGCATGCCTTGAAGGAAGAACTGTTTCCTGTTCCTGAAATTAAGTATAAATGTCAGGACTTCACGAATGGTACAGATAGATATTTTCATTATTTTTTAACAATTTATCTCAACTGTTAGGTGCAAAAATGATTTTTGTCACTAGGTATAAAGGATCTATCAAAACAAAAATGTCTCTGCCCTCCTATGCAATAGCCAAGTAGAAGGGAACAGAATACATATAACCGAAGGAAAAAAAATACATAAAATGGCAGATAATGCTACCAAATTCTCATGGGGGGAGGGGATAAATGCTTGCAGAGAGGGAGAGCCAGGCCTAGAGCCTTATGTGTAGAGAGCTGAGTTTCATATGTACAGCGCTAAAGGAAGATTTCATTGATGAAGTGAGTTTGGGGCCATAATCCTGAAGACACAATCCCAAATGTTAGTATCTTGAAATATCAAAATTCCTAATTTAATATCCCAAAGAATCAAAATCCCAGAAATAAATTCTAAAAATATAATTTTAAAAATTCTTTAAAAGGACATTTATTGACAGTTTTACAAAGAAGATTTGAGAAAGACAGAAATCTTGACAATACATTTCATAGCCCAGTATAAATAAAATAGGCAATAATCATATACATATTTTCATAAGTATAAATATTTGTGATATGCTAAGAGCATTCACACAGTTAAAATGGCAGACAGATACTATTCATGAAGCAATAGGTCAAAAGCATACAGTATGAACACATCACTATGATTGGTCATTATGTACAACCAGCTCTTTAATAAGTCATCTGAAATTCCATGACAGAAAATCTGAATCTTTTATTGATATTAATCAAATGCTAGGTAGGTTACTACCACATGTAAAGTCAACCAAAGAGTTGAGCTCTCAAGAAATTTTATCTTCCACAAATACAGATACACTAGAAGGATATATCTTAATTTACTGAGGATGTTTCAAAAATATTTATGAACATAAACAAAATTTACAAAGTCAACAATGGTACAAGGTACCTTTGTGGGATGAACTTGAAAAAACAGCATAAAAATCCATGAAATTCTTTGTACAATGTGTTTGGAAATGATGTGAAAAGGACACATATAGATTAACAAGTTATAAAAATAATATGAACAATTTAAAATTGTAGAATTACAAAACTACCAAGGAAATTCAACATACTAAAGTCTATTACAATGCATTACTATGGGAAATTGGAAAATGTGCTCTACACAAGCTGGCCAAACCGCATGATCACTAACTGCCTTTTGAAATCTTGCATCATGATAAGTCATGGATCTACTTCTTTCAGAGCATGGCTCTCCTCGAGAATACACTCCCATTCATTTTTCAGGTGGCACTGTTTTTTGTTCATATTTTCATGATCTGCTACACACTGAGATCAGCATTCTGTTTCCTCATATTCTGTGCTGTGCTCCTACATTGTGGACTGTATTAGGCTTGATTATGCCACCTTCATTGGCTAAAAAGCTGCCGAGGGACTCACACATTTCTGCACAGGTCTGAGTGGTCACAGAGGTCTGACCACGGCCAGCACATCTCGTTCCTGGCTCCATCTCCTCAGACACTGCTCCCTGCTCATTGCGCCAGCAGTCAAGAAGCACCTGTGCTCCAGGCAGGCCCTTCAACCATGACGCTTCTGTCATGGAGCCTGCCAGGCACAGACTCAACCCCCTAAAACTGTGAGCCAAGCTAAGCCTGCGCTCCTCTAAGCTGTGGGTGTCAGGTGTTGTGTCCCACCAATGGGAAGGCTGAGTAACGCAAAGATGTTCGGGAATCCTTCGGTATACATTTGTATACAGATGTGTATCTCATGATGGGACAGCAGCAGGTTGCATCTGCTTATCCAGCATGCACAGAATTATTTTCAAGCCAGTCAGTAACTTCACCAACTTCTCCAGGTGTTTGTGACTTTAGTCATTGAAAGTTCTTGGAAATTCACTGGATGGAAGGATTGTCGATGCATTTTTAAACTGAAGTTTTCCATATAGTGCAGTGAATCCACCCATTTGAATTTTCCACCACAGGCATTGGGCTGAATGGAAAAACAAGTTTTACTTACATAATATTAAAACATATTTTTAGAAACTTTGATTTTTACAGAATCAGTCATTTAAGTCAGCCATTAGGGTTTTGTGATTCAACTGAAATCTATTTTTTTACAAAAAGTTTACAAATGCACACATAAACATTTATATAGTACTTCACTTTATCCAAGCATTAATATATAAACAAACAGGTTTTTAAATTTTAGAATCTAGAGGGACATAAATTATATATACTCAAACACATGCACACAAATGCAAACACAGATACACACACACACACACACACACACACACACACACAAACATACACAGATGGGCATGATAGTGCACATCAGTAATCCTAGAACTCTGGAAAGCAGAAGCAGGAGAAACGAAGTTCAGATTCAGCCTCAGAATTCCAGTGACTAAGAAGACCCTGTCTCAAAATTTAGATAAGTAATAAAACAAAAAATAGACCTGGGGATGTAGCTTTGTATAAAGCCTTCTGTAATCAATGTTCCATATCACAACAAAAAAGAAATACAGGCAAACAAAAAAATACTGGGGACCACTTTGAAAGTGGTATGCATTAGCCAAAGTGAAGGATGCACTAGTTTTCCATGTAGTATGCCTATTTGTTGATAGCCAACATTTGTAATTTTGGTGTTTTTTTTTGGGGGGGGGGACCAAGGATTGAACTCAGGTCCTTGTGCTTGCCAGGCAAGTGCTTATTCTACTGAGCTATTTCCCCAGCCCGATAGTCAATATTTCTAAACAGGGACAGTTCACCATTTAATGTGCTTTGTAACAATGGAAGAACTTCAACACGAGTGAGTCTTTGACTCTAAATGTTGCTGAGCCTGTCAAATTCTTTCCATTCTCTAAAAATGGGAATTGTTTTCTTGAGGACAGAAAGTACTACTTGTAACAGGGTGTGGGGTGTTACACATTTGAATAATTTGGCAACTATCTGTATATAAACCAAAACACACTAATTCCATCTTCAGAATTCAGTTTTCTATAAATATCATAAGAGTCCTTTCTTTACAAGTAGAATTGTGGATTGGAAGTTTTCAACATTCAAACTATAAATCTTTCAACAATGCATCATTTATAATCATTATCAACACTGGATAAAGTATTGAAAATAAATTAAGAGGAAGATGAAAAAGAAGAGAAAAAGAGGAAGAAGGGAAGAGGAAAAAGAAAAAGGAGGAGGAGGAGGAGAAGGAAAAGGTGGACAAGGAGAGAGGAAGAGGAGTGCTTCAGGTTACAAATACCTGATATAACAGTGTTACTAGATATTCTGAAGTCCATTAGGGAGATTAGTGTTACCTTTATACAGCACATATAGCACTAAAAAGGACTTGTACAGATGATTCAGTTGTGTTTATTATTATTTTAAAGAATACAATAATGGACCACAGGCATGGACAGTTCCATTTTATGCTAAGGTGTCTGATATTCTAATACATAGCAATATTAAGCTTACCACCTGCATTATAGGGTAATGTCATTAAGCTTCTCTTCTAGATGTTTAACAACTGAAGTTTGGATGTGAATAATTACAGACATATAGTAGGCTAAGAGGATAGCAAATAGTTTGGCTCTAGCCCTCTGAGGTCAATAAAGACTCACTCAGGACATAAAGAACCTCTGATGTGACATCCTATAATTCAGTTGAGTCCCTGATTTTTGATCAAAGAGATTATGGGACCCCCAGAGGAGTTATTCAATGATATATAAGGTGCCTCAGGAGAGCGATATGGAGAGAAAATATCTCTCAAGTTTTCACAGAAAGCAACTGGATGAAGTAATAGCCATGACTCAGCCAGATGGACGACACTGACAGAAAAACCTAAGAGTGCTGTACATGGTTCCAGAGTAAGTCCTGAGTAGATTTAACTGACTTGCTAGATAACAAAAAGTTATTTTTTATTTATATACTATCATTTTAACTTTGTCCTAACCATCCAGCAAAAAAGCACAACCACAAGATGTGCAAAGTAATGCCATAATAATATGCTAGCTATAAAAGATTCAAATTACTGAGAACTCCCAACAATTGCCAGTTGCACTGGTAACTCACTACTGCTATGGGCTATTGGACTTTACAAGGTTAAATTGCAGTATACAGGTACCAAAATCCTTGGCCTGACATAAAGAATGAAAAAGTCTTCAAAGAATTCTCCAAACACAGCTTCTCCAACTGCAACAAAATACCCATCATTCACACAGCAAAACAAAAAGGAGAGGTATGTTGAGAACCACAGAAGCTGGAAAATGGTCAAATGTGCAAGAGCAGAAGGAGGCCTGCATGCCTGAAGCAGTTGAGCTGCCTCAGTCCTGAGTTAATATCAGCCATTACTCACTAGACAACCTTGTGTCATGGAATACTAACTTTGCAAAGGTATAAATAAATGTCCCTACCAATCCTTGGGAAGAGGGGCAGTTGTCAATCAGGCATGGCCCCAGCTCTTATCTCCTTGTCTACCTTTTTCTCATTCCTGCTCCCATTTCTCCCTGGGGTACTGGAGCAATCAAAAGATCCCATCAAGACACCATCAGAGTCCTACAATATGAGGAAAGATTTCAAGATACAAGTAAGTGAGACTTACAGAACATCAACTATGATGAAAAAAAAGTCTATCCATCTTAGGCCAAGGATGCATCTTAGTCAAAATTTTAGGTATCCAATAAAAGTCAGAATTTTAAAAGCTGTCAAAGCAAAGCAAAATATCACATGTAACAGTAAACACATTAGGATTACAGTTGACTTTTTTAAATGTATTTAGTACAGGGTCTATAGAGTCTCACTACACAGATCGAATTGTAGTGATTCTCCTGTTTTCAGCCTCCCAAGTGTCGGGATTACAGGCACATGCCACCATGCCCAGTTTCATTCCCTGCCTCAGTGTGTCCCAGGGGCAAGGCCAGCATGGCACACTGAGGATCAAACCCCAGTCCCTGGGCCTGCCTAAGCAGGCACTGCAGTCC